ATTATTATTTTTATATTTATTAACTTTATATTTATTTTTGTAAGTTAATAAATAGCTTATTAAATAAATTAAAATTAAAAAATTAAATTTACTTAAATAAATAAATGAATTTCTCTAAAATCATCCCTTATTTAAAAAAAATCAAAGTTTTTAATCTTAAATATTATGAATTTTTTTCCATCCTAATTTATTTTTTTCAAAAAAAAAGATATTTTATAAGAATATACGCTATGTATAATTTCAAATTTTACATTTTCTGAATTTAAAGCTTTCTAAAATCTTAAAAATAAAGCTGTTTTAAGCTTATTTAGCTTTATTTATTATGTTATTAAGATATATTACATTTCGCTAATTTATAAATTAGATAGGCATTTCACTCTAGTCAATTAGGAGGAAAAAATGAAGAAAAATATGAAATAATAAGATTAATTAATAAAATTAACAAATAATCAAAAAGTGAGAAATCATAATAAAAAGAAAATGGAAAACAAATCAAATAAATTAAAAGAGCTTTAATATTTTAAATTAACTTTTATAATTAAAAATATTACATTGCAAAAAAAATAAACTGCTTTTATTAAGTGTAAGTTTTAATAACAAAAATGGAGAAAAAAATATCAAATAATAAAAAATGAATAATAAATAAATAATTAAATATTTGAATTGAAAATTAAGTTAAAATAGCTAAAAAATTTTTGTTTTAATAAAAATCAATAAATAAATATATAAATAAATAATGATGATAATTTCTATAAAAAAATTATTTATTAAATAAATTGAAAATTAAATATACAAAAAATATTAATAATAATAATAATAAAAATAATATTTTTTAATTAAATATATGGAAGATTAATATGGAGAACCTAATGAGATAAAAGTGAAGAGCTTAAAAACTTTTTTTATTAATTTATATAAATTTAAAGGATATTAATAAAAAATTATTAATTGCTTCTTCTAATTTAATATATTTTTTAATCTATTATATCATTTATTTTTTTTTCAAAAATATTTAATAGCAATTTATGAAATTTGATTAATTATAAATGGATAAAAAGAACAAATAAAAAAAATAATTAATTAAATATCAAATATTAATTTATAAATTTGGTTTTATAAAGAGATATCACAGAAAAATTAATTTAACATTCACTATTTAAACTTAATATTTGTATTTAAAACATAAACTTAAAAATGTATATTGTAGGAATTAGAGATGGCAAGTTATTTATTTAGTACTATTTGAAAAAATTCTAGTAATTAATATTCTTAAATATTATAAAAATAATGTTTAAAAGTAGATTTTTCTGTTTTAGCTCTGTAATTTTAGAAATATTTATAATATCTCTAATTATAACAAGATGCAATACAAAAATTTCATGGTTTGTATGCCACTTATTATGAAATAGATTTTTTATTTATTTATTAAAAAATTTAATTTATATATAAATTTTATAATAAAATTATAATTATTAATAATTTAATTTTTATAATTTCAAAAATAAGTGGATTTAATTTTTTTATTTTTTATAAATAAATAATTTATTTATTTACAAAAATAAGAATCATATTTATAAATATAAAATCAATAATAAAATCTATTTATCTATCTATTTATATTTTAGGTTAAAAACACTTTTTCAAAATATTAAATAATAAAATATATAATATTATTCAAACATTTAATATTTATTCATCCTTTTTTCGCCAGCTATTTATCAATAGTAATCAAAGACAACTAATCTTTTTGATTTAAGACACTTGCTTATTACTTTGTGTTTTTATGATTTATTCAAATTGCTAAAAATTTTAAAATAAATTTGTGTAAATTTTAAAATAAATATCAAAATAGAATAAACTATAAAATTAAAAATTATTCTTTAAATTAATAAATAAAATAATATTAGTGAAATAAAAAAGATAAAAAAATAAAATAAATAAAAGCTATCAGATAAATTTAAAGAGCTTATTGTTTTTAATTAGTTTTTATAATTAAAAATAGCACAATCCAAAACAAATAAATTGTTTTTACTAAAGGTTAAGTGTCAAATTTGAGAGATTAATGCAATTTGCTAAACCAGAACCTAAGCCTGATGCACCTTCATCACCAATATAATTGCCACTTTTTAAATATTGAAGAAAAAAATATAATTAAATAGTTAATTAGAAGGAAAAAATTATTAAAAAATATGAAATATTAAGATTAGTTAATTAAAAATAAAAGCAAAAGTTGAAAATAAAATGATGACCTTTTAAATTAACAAAGAAAAAACAAACAAAAAAGCAAGCACAATAAAAAGAAAAAGAAAAAAGAGCTTTATTGTTTTTAATTAGTTTTTATAATTAAAAATATCACAATCCAAAACAAATAAACTGTTTTTACCGAAGATTAAGTGCCAAATTTGAGAGATTAATGCATTTTGCTAAAGCACAACCTAAGCTTGATGCACCTTCATCACCAATTTGATTACCACTTTTTAAATATTAAAGAAAAGATATATCATTAAATAGTTAATTAGAAGGAAAAAATTATTAAAAATATGAAATATTAAGATTAGTTAATTAAAAATAAAAGCAAAAGTTGAAAATAAAATGATGAATTTTTAAATTAACAAAGAAAAAACAAAAAAAAAGCAAGCACAACAAAAAGAAAAAGAAAAAAGAGCTTTATTGTTTTTAATTAGTTTTTATAATTAAAAATATCACAATCCAAAACAAATAAACTGTTTTTACTAAAGTTAAAGTGTCAAATTTGAGAGATTAATGCATTTTGCTAAACCAGAACCTAAGCCTGATGCACCTTCATCACCAATTTGATTGCCACTTTTTAAATATTGAAGAAAAGATATATCATTAAATATTTAATTAGAAGGAAAAAATGAAGTAAAATATGAAATAATAAGATTAGTTAATTAAAAATAAAAGCAAAAGTTGAAAATAAAATGATGAATTTTTAAATTAACAAAGAAAAAACAAAAAAAAACAAGCACTATAAAAAGAAAAAGAAAAAGAAAAAGAAAAAAGAGCTTTATTGTTTTTAATTAGTTTATATAATTAAAAATATCACAATCCAAAACAAATAAACTGTTTTTACTCAAGATTAAGTGTCAAATTTGAGAGATTAGTAAATTTTGCTAAACCAGAACCTAAGCCTGATGCACCTTTATTGTAACTTTTTAAATATTGAAGAAAAGATATATCATTAAATATTTAATTAGAAGGAAAAAATTATTAAAAAATATGAAATATTAAGATTAGTTAATTAAAAATAAAAGCAAAAGTTGAAAATAAAATGATGAATTTTTAAATTAACAAAGAAAAAACAAAAAAAAAGCAAGCATAACAAAAACAAAAAGAAAAAAGAGCTTAATTGTTTTTAATTAGTTTATATAATTAAAAATATCACAATCCAAAACAAATAAACTGTTCTTACTTAAGGTTAAGTGTCAAATTTGAGAGATTAATGCATTTTGCTAAACCAGAAACTAAGCCTGATGCACCTTCATAACCAATTCGATTGCAACTTTTTAAATATTGAAGAAAAGATATATCATTAAATATTTAATTAGAAGGAAAAAATGAAGAAAAATATGAAATAATAAGATTAGTTAATTAAAAATAAAAGCAAAAGTTGAAAATAAAATGATGAATTTTTAAATTAACAAAGAAAAAACAAAAAAAAACAAGCACTATAAAAAGAAAAAGAAAAAGAAAAAAGAGCTTTATTGTTTTTAATTAGTTTATATAATTAAAAATATCACAATCCAAAACAAATAAACTGTTTTTACTCAAGATTAAGTGTCAAATTTGAGAGATTAGTAAATTTTGCTAAACCAGAACCTAAGCCTGATGCACCTTCATCACCTATTTGATTGTCACTTTTTAAATATAAAAGAAAAGATATATCATTAAATATTTAATTAGAAGGAAAAAATGAAGAAAAATATGAAATAATAAGATTAATTAATTAAAAATAAAAGCAAAAGTTGAAAATAAAATGATGAATTTTTAAATTAACAAAGAAAAAACAAAAAAAAAGCAAGCACAACAAAAAGAAATTTTTATGAAACTTTTTCCATCCTAGGTTTTCAAAATTTATTTTTTTCAAAAAAAATGATATTTTATGCTTTTTAAAAATTAGCTTTATTTATAATGTTATTTACAATGAAATTTAATAGGTATTTCACTATAGTTAATTAGAAGGAAAAAATGAAGAAATAATATGAAATAATAAGTTTAATAAAAAAATTAACAAAGAATGAAAAAATAAGAAATCATAATAAAAAGAAAAAGGAAAACAAATCAAATCAAATAAATTAAAAGAACTTTAATGTTTTAAATTAACTTTTATAATTAAAAATATTACAATGTAAAACAAATAAATAGCTTTTATTAATAATAAGTTTTAATAGCAAAAATGAAGAAAAAATATCTAATAATAAAAAATGAATAATAAATAAATAATTAAAAATGAAAATTAAGGTAAAATAGCTAAAAAATTTTATTTTTAATAAAAATCAAAAAATAAATAATGATGATGATAATTTCTTTTATAAAAATTATTTATTTAAAAAAATTGAAAATTAAATATACAAAATATATAAATAATAATAAAAATAATGTTTTTTAATTAAATATACCGAAGATCAATATGGAGAACCTAATGAGATAAAAGTGAAGAGCTTAAAAACTTTTTTTATTAATTTATATAAATTTAAAAGTTATTAATAAAAAAATTAATAA